CACACACACACACACACCTACTTTCAATTAGTTGTTAACTATATGGACATGACTGTAGGGCTGGCCATTTAGGCATGGACAACCAATCAAGGGAGTTATCCCTGAAGAAAATGAACCCTCCCTCCTTTAGTAGTATTGGGCATTGTGAACCTTTTTGTTAATTGGTGTGATCTTGTGCAAGTCTTTTTTTTTTTTTTTTTTTTTTTGGTTTTTTGAAACAGGGTTTCTCTGTGGCTTTGGAGGCTGGCCTGGAACTCACTTTGTAGACTAGCCTGGCCTTGAACTCACAGAGATCTGCCTGCCTCTGCCACCCGAGTGCTGGGACTAAAGGCGTATGCCACCAACGCCCGGCTGTGCAAGTCTTAAATAGGCAATCATAGCTACTAAGAGTTCAAGAAGACAATATTTTTCATCACTCTTCTGTCTCATAATTCATCTGCCGCCTCTTAACGTGTTCCCTAAGCCTTTGGTGTAGGAGTTGTTTAGTAGATGTCTCCTTTGAGGGTGTATAGTCCACAGTCACTTATTCTCTGCACTTTTATCAGTGTCATTCTCTGTAGTAGCTCTGCCCACTGAAAAAGGAAGCTTCCTTGATATGGGGTGGGAGCTGCACCAACTATATGGGTACAATGATAAGTATTGAAAAAGCAATTTTTGTCTTATGTAGTAAAACTGATACATTTTGTTTCCATATCACTGTGTGTCTAAAAGTCCTCCCCACTATGTAGTTCAGTAGATGATACACACATATTTCTAAATACCACTGATTTTTTTATTTACTATATTCAGATATATCAACTTTATTTCCACATGACAATTGGTAGGGATAATTTGTTTCTCCTTGTATGTTTTTGGAAATACTGCCTATAATCAATGCTATAATTGCCATGTGCTACTGACGTTGCTCTTCTAATACCACTCACTGTTTTCTTTTCAATTTTTTCAGCTTTGTGAAAAGCTACTTTAATCCTTTACATGTTTGCTGTAGAACTGAGATATTTATTCCAGTGAAATGTGTAGTTTAATCTGTCTTTTGGCTCATAACTTTGCTGGGCTTAGTGGCATTGAGCTGTAATCCAAGATACCTGAGTTCAAGGCCTGCCTGAGCAATTTAGTGGCACTCTGTCTAAAAATAAAAGTAAAATAAAGGATGACAATAATAGCTTTCTGATAGGTCATGCAGGAGGCCCTAAGTTTATCTCTTAGTGATGCAAACAAAGAAGTGTCTAGAAAAACCCAGGAGTGCTCATGATAATTTTATTTTAAATAGCTTGTTTTACATGTCAATCCCAGTTTCCTCTCCCTACCCCTCCTCCCGCACCCCCCTGGCTATCCACCCCCCCAGCTTCCTACCCTATTGCCAATTCCTTCCACATAGGGGATATCTAGAGTCTGTCATTTCACTCAGGGTTAGGTCCAGGCACTCCCCTAAGAGTCCAGGCTGAGAGAGCATCCCTCTTTGTGTTATGGACACATGATGTCTGTTTGTATTCCAGGGATACACACTAGTCTACTGCTCAGGGCCCCATAGGTTGCCCAGGCCTCCTTACTGACACTCACATTCGGGGGGTCTGGATCAGTCCCATGATGGCCTGTCAGCTGTCTGTCTGGGGTCCAAGAGCTCTCCCCCTGTTCAGATCAGCTGTCTCTGCTGGTTTTCCCAGCCCATTCTTTGCCAATTTGATCATCGCTCCTCTCTCTCTGTCACTGGGTTCCTTGGGTTCAGTTCAGTGTTTAACTGTGGGTGTTTGCCTCTGCTTCCATCAGTCACTGGATGAACGCTCCAGGATGGTTATAGACATCAAGTTCATTATCAGGAATGGGCATTCGAGGTGGTCTCTTCACTATTGCTTAGCTTGCCAATTGGTGTCATCCCTTTAGATCACTAGAGGTCACACTGGTGCCTGATTTGTCTTCTAATCTATTACTCCCTCTTCCCCCTATTCTACCCCCACTCAACCTTCCTGTTCCCCCATGACCTACTCTTTCTTCCTTTTCTCCCCCTCTCTCCTTCCCAGCTCCCACTCCCCCCCCACCCCTTGCTGTGTTTCAAGATAATTTTAGATTAGTTCAACAACAAAACTTTAAAAAAATATTCACTATACGCAAGCCTGTGCTAATACTGTGAATACATAAATGAAACAGATACTATTGTATAGTAGTCCTTGGTTTAGAGAAAAACTGTGTTAATCAGATAAAGGCAGACAGTATTTAGATAGACAATTTCACTTTTTCTTTTCTGATTAATTGTTATTACTTGTATTTCTGATTTATTGGCCCTAACCATATTTTTTTATTTTTTCTTAATTTTTTAATAAATCTGGGGAAGATTAGTTATTATGTGATACTGGTTCGATTGACTCAGGCATGTGAAATGTGGTGACTTTTTTATATCTTCATAGTTTGTTTATGTTTCTAATTAATTAAGTGATAATAGTTGTCTTCTTTTCAGTTCTGTAAATGTTTATTGAGTCCTTGTTAGGCACTATTTAAAGAACTTCAGAGAAGATAAAAATGAATACATTAGACAAGCTTATCTACTGAAGAAATTCACAATTGATAAAAATAGCAATATAAAAATAATAGTTAATGAGCAGCCAGCTTGCTGTGTGCTAGTCATGATATTTAAAGAAGTTAATGTTTGTCATCATTCAATCTGGCAGCAGCCAGGATACTCCTAGGTATATGTTTTTTACTCTTTCACTTAATCACCTGTGCTTCTTTCTGTTGTCACCTTTTGTAAGAAACTTCTCTTTCCAGCCTATGAAAGTAGCAATTCATATAGATCTCAGCATTGATGCCTTGTGTTGTTCTACTTCACTGTCATAAATCTAATAATTTGCTTGCTTGTTTATTTTTCCTTTGTTTGAAAAAATAGTATTGGTAAACTCTGTACTATAGAAGTATGGGGTTGCTGAAGGTGAAAGTTTAAATTAGTATGTAATGTGTAACCTTTTCAAGTACTAGATATCTTCTCTGTATTATCGATATAGACATGAGTGGTTGGTTCCTAGGTTGGTCAGCTTGTTCATTCTTTTATCTAATAAATGCATTGATCATCTAGACCTCAGCAGACACTATTCATAGTAGTGAGGGCAGTGTGAAGAAAACAAGGGGCCTTCTCTGTTGCACTCCACTCTAATGAGCGAGAGAAACAGTAAAGAAAACTCACTTTTATAATGTATTGTGCAATGGCCAAATTAATTTTCTCTAATGTCTTTCTCTGGACCACTTTATAATCTAATTTCCCCTTCTTATTTTGTCCCTGACCATTCTCTTTTCTGTTATCAATGGTTTTGGTCTTGTCCCTAACGCTCTTCTCCATTGGCTCCCTATGGCTTGTTGTTACTGCAGAGTAATTGTGGTATTGTTCATTTTCTTTCAGTGTAATGGCACTGTCTTTTTTCCTTTTTTGGATTCCGTTTGTCTGTCAGCACAGCCTGAACTTAGGTATCTTTTATTTTGCTGGTGTGGTTTATTTCTTCCTTCTTTGTTTCTGTTTGCAAGAGCATTGCATGTACATATTAAAGATCCAGCCAATTAAAATCCTCAGACTTTTTAAAAGGGGTCTTTCATTGTAGATACACTGGCTTATAGGATTAGCTTATGTTTATGTATTGCTTTTCTATTAGCAAGACTGCTTTTGAGACTTTAAATGACTGAATCTCAGTGGAGATTATTAGTAAATATGACATCAAGGTCATCATAGAGATTTCCTAGGAAATTTAGAGAGATCACTTTCCAAGGACATAAAATATTAAGATCAAATTTTAATGGGAGAATTGCTTGTGGCTAAATCTCCTTATAGTGAAATATACAAAATTGTTTTCAAAAGCCCCTCAACATCCTGTTTGCTCCAGTCTCAGCTTTGATTCTATAGTCTCCAAATGCATGTGGTTAGAAAGGAGTCAAAAAGAGTCATCTCTGGGTGCTTGGGAGATGGCTCAGCAGGCATGAAAGCATAAACCCAGTTCAAATCTCTAGCACCCCCATAAAAAGCCAGGTATAGCCATTTACTACTGTAATTCTCAGCATTGTTCAGGCTGAATACTGGGAATTAAAGGAGATTTCTGGCCATCCATTTACCTAGATCTAAATTCAATGATATACTCTGTCTCAAGGGAATAATAGATAAGAAAGTGATAGCACAGGATCCTGATGTTTTCTGGTCTCGTTTCACATGTGTGTATATGCCATTTATATACATTACAGACAAACAATTTTCATATAGATAATAAATAGAATCAGTTTTTTAGAAGAAACAACTCTACCATTTGTGTGTATCCATTACTACCCCATATCTTGGTCAGCCTTGCTGCGAAGCTCCATGGAATGTTACTTTTGCTGTCTTCTATCTTTCCATCCTATTTACTATTCTTTCCTTTTTATTGTCTGTCCTTATGCAAACATCTTAACCTTATTTACCATTTTAATAGAAACTGTACTTTACCTTTATATACTAGATAACTTGCTCTCACTTACTAATTTGTTATACATTGAAGATCTTCCCGAAGTGTTTCAGTATTAATATACAGGGCAGGAAGGATTGTTCAGTTACTAAGGTGCTTGCTATATATGTGCAGGGACTTAAGTGTGTTCCATAGCATAACATAACTGTATAAAGTCAGATGTGGCATATTCTTGTAATCCCAGTACTAGGGAAACAGAGACAAGAAAATGAGGGTCACTGGGGCCTTGCTGGCCAAACATGAATATTAAAACCTAGAAATCATTGTTAATATCATTTAAGATACCTATTGATACTCCGCCCTTTCAAAAATGTACACATAATTCTTTGCATTGAATGTGACATATTTTGCTGAGTCTGTTCTGCATGTTAGCAGTACTTATAGTGATTAACTTGAATTTTTTCTTAATACTAGAGATATTAGCATTCAAGAAGTCAACGACATTCGTTTCAAAGCTAATCATGAAGACATTACTGTAAATGCAAATGGTTTCTTGAATGATTACTAATTTTAAGTATTTATTTTTTATAGATAAATGAATGGAGTGTTTGAAGTGCCCTTTGAGACTCTGAAGGCTGAAGGTAATGTCCAGTGATGTTTTCCCATAGGTTTTATCTTCATAAGCATGCTTTATTATTTTCAAGGCCTTGGATTTACTACTTTAACTCTTTCTTGATTGCCCTTTACCAATTAATGTCAACCTCAAAATAATTTAAAATTATAAGTATCACAGAAAAGCATCTTCCATCTCACAGTATTTAATCCTAATTGGTTGATGTTATACTTCTTTCTACAAAGAAATATGTTATGCTTTCCATTTTTCTTAGTTTGAATTCTTATTTTAAACCTTGCCATTTCTTTAAGTAGGCATATTGACTCAAAAGCAGAAAGAAAGAATGTATTCATGCCCAGGAATAGCTTTACATCGTACTGTAGGAGGGATAAAAGTGCTTTCATTGGGACATCCAAACTGTTTAGATGATATTTAATAGCTTCAGATACAGAAGTCCAGATTGTAGGAAGGAAGCTTACAATAGACTTGTGTTGCTGCATTGTATATAAAGAGCTCATAGGGCTTGTTGAGAGAGGCTTCTTAAACATGAGGGGGCTGTAATTACTTTGCATCTTACATGCATGGTTAGACCTTCCAGTGAGAATAACATGTTAGGGCAATTTATTATAGAAGAGTAAATCACAAATTACATTGGAGGGGGTTGGGGTGGTGTGATCCAACCATCAGTTTGTGAATACATACACTTAAGCATGTGTGATAGCTTGTTTTTAATTTCTTTACACCAGTGCACACCTCAAACGTTGTATTTAGCAGTGGGATATGCAAATTGTTCCAAATGCAGCAGCAGTACTTTAACCTGAATGTCAAAACTGTCAGACAGCTTTAAATCAAATCTTTATAACACTTTACAAAACCATCCAGCCCCAAGATTGAGGCACCAAACTCTGAAAAAACTTGATTCCTGTACTTCAAAGAAGCCTCTGTATGTCAACAGAGTAATGTCAAAGTTCTAATTCACCTGCTTTCTAATTTTAACCTTTTAAGGATTTTATTTTATTTGGCTTAATTATGATATTTTCTACAAATTAATGATAAATGCCTTGATTAATAAAACCAAATGTCAGGGAAAATGACAACTTGATGAAAAATTAATACTAGGCAATATTTTAAGATACAGAGGTACTAAAGATGTATTCTTGAACCTCATATTTCATCATCTCATTCTTGAAAGTGGGTAACCAGAATTCTCTTTGTAAGTTTCCATGACCACATGTATCTATGCATTTAACGATATTTCAGCCATCTTTATTATTAGGACAAATAGATATGTATTCCTAATTTTTCTCTTGTACTGCTGTTTCATTCATTTTATTTTAAGGTTCAGAGTAGTGCATATTGTGGGGTAGTGATAGAAATGAGGCTAGCACACTGAGAATTTAGTTTGTGTTATGTGTCTGTGTATGTTTCACTCTTTCTGTGTTTGTGTGTCTCAGACCATCTCATGATACAAAATTTATCACTTTTGACATTTGTTGTAATCGTCATTTTGTGAAATTAATCACCAATTCAGTTGGACTCCAGGATCCACCTGTCTCTGCCCATCTAGCACTTGGGCTATAGTGCATGCTTCCATGCCATCTTTTTTGTGGGTGCTGGGATCTGTACTCTGTTACTTATGATTGCACAGCAAATATTTTACCAGCTCAGCCATCTCTCTGGACTGTTGGGATTTGTGTTTTAACAGCTTTTTTCTTAAGTTTTTCATGGAATGTCATAAATGTAAATGGCTGCTTAAAAACCTAGAAAGATAAATATGATTATTCTTTTCTTGGTGATGGTTATAGCCTTGAAAAAATAAAAATGTGTCATGTAATTTTTGAAAGTTTTTGCTTTTAGTTAATCATTTTTTCATACTGATATATACAGTGTACTTAATATGTTGCCACCACCTTTCAAGCCTCCTTACCTTCTCTTTTCCTCCCTCTCCCATTTGTCTCCTAACTCCCCTCTGCAACTTTACTTTCATTGTGTTATATGTACACACTTGCTTTTGTTTCCCTATGAACCATGTGTGAAATAAGACATATAGCATTTCTCTTTCTGAAACAGTCTTCTTTCACTTACAATAATTATCTCCATTTTCATTCATGTTCCTTCAAACATCAAAATTTTGTACTGTTTCCATGTATTTTTCTGTTTTCATAAATGTATGATTTCATTTTGAACAATATTAAATAAATTATAGAAATGGCATTATGTAGCATTAATGTCTGTGCTGTAACTTTATAGTCATATTTCACAGATAAAGCTTCCCATCAGACAAAGGAGGGCACAGTGACCTCTTCTGTGTTTTGTTTTGTTTGATTGGGACACAAAGAACCACATAATACATTGTAAGTGAAGTGGGCCTGCTTCAGCCATCTGCTCATGTAGTGACATTCTGGTCATACCTATCAATAGAAATCTTTGCCAGCTAAAGTTAGAATCTCTTCTGTGGGAAACAGAATGGGATTTTTTGTTGTTGTTGTTGTTGATGTTTTAGGTCTCTTGTTCTACATAGTAGGGGAAGTAGAGGTAAACTCTAGTTAATACACAGTGTATGCCGTTCCCAAGTGAAAACATTCTTCAGCCTAGGTTTCTGGGAATATTTGGAGTTTGAAGTGGGTTTTGTTGAGTCTTCCATTAGTTGCCTCCAGGTTTTATTATTTTTTTGTAGTGCTTGGCTCCAGGCATCCAGTCTGTACTGGCAAATCCTTTTGATTGGTAGAGGCCACCAACATTGCTGCCCATGGTGCTTACATACCTGTCGTGTCTAATAGCTCTGTCAGCTAGTTAATCACTTCTTTGCAACTCTTGGAAACATCTGAGGAGGTTTTTAGTTTGTTTGTTTGTTCTGTTGTTTGTTTTGTTCTATTGTAGCACAAGTCTCTTATTATGTCTCATCTGTGTACCTGTATTTATCTGTAAGTAAAATCATTCCTATTTCACATATCAGTGACTAACATATACCCTAATTCTTTGACAGATCTTAAATTGCATACTGACCAGTGTGTTGTGTCCTCTTACTTATTCTGTTTATCCTTACAACAATTTGTTTCTGCATATCAACCAAGTATTGGTTTTGCATTAGTTATTCATTAATAACAGGATTTGATAAGGAACTGAAATACTTCACAGTGTGTAAGCTATGTTTTTCATTGAGATTCTAGCTTTTTGTAGTATAAGTAATGGTTGTTTTCCCCAAAATGTCTATGGATGAATGAGCAAAACTGAAATCCAAAATAACTTCTGAAAGTCATTGCTAGGTGTCCCATCTTTGAACCTAGAAATAAGGATGACTTATTGAGCCTACACAGATTCAGGGAGCTGGATTATGATGCTTTGCTTGAATTAACACACAAAACAGCTCATTTTCTGTGAACAACCTGGATCTTATGTTAAATATAATGGTTAGTTTCTCATCTACTTAAAAATATACTATAAATAAATTATAATGGACCAAAATTGTATAAAGTTCTAGTTTTGAAACTATTTAACTTAATGTTGTTTTTCTAAATGTCTTTTTAGCATCTCTTAGAAGGGCATTATTTAATTTATGTCTATATTGTATTGTATTCTGTAAAATCAAATTATTTAGTACTTTTGTATATAAATATTAATATGAAGTTGTGTTCTACATAAATACTAGTTAGAATAATCATGGGCCAGCCACCTTATTTGTCTCTTTTGGAAACCTGTGTTTATTAACTGAATGCAACATTACTGTTAAATACACTTTTATCTTAGCCTTTCCTTTTTGGCTTCTGAGAAGATAGTCTCACTATGTACCATGCTAGCTTTTAATTTATAGTGGTTGTCCTGCCTCTATTTCCAGAGTCATGTTCCATTCCTGAGCCTTGAGTCATACTGTTAAGTAAGGAAAAGAAAAATATCAAGAATAAATGTAGACCCCGCCCCAGTTCTGCTATCATCCTCTCTCCTTAACTACCTATCATCCTTCCAAATGCTCTGGTTTCTTTTTTGATTTGTTTAGTGTTGACAAGGTGTTTTCCATTCCTCTAATGAAGTGGGAAATAAATTAGCATGCATTCTGGGGTATTTAGATTACTTACTGTAGTAATGCTCAACATGTCTTTGTAATACTCTTCAACTCCTACCCACAACTAATTAGTGACTTTCAGATGAGAAGATGTTAGTTGTGCAGTAGCTCTATATTTACTAGTGATCAAAGGAGTGTTACTAATGTGCTTGTCAGTATTAGAAAAAGAGTTAAGTAAATAAAGGGCCAGATGGTTGCGCCCAGAACCTATCAAGAGCCAGTATGTGTGGGCTGGTCCAGCAGAATGACAGAAATGTTTCCCAGGCCAAGTGGAATTAGAGTTAAGGTTTTGCTACTATCAGGAAGAATGTGCTTCAGATGTGGTTTTAATGGTATCATGATTCATATCTGCAGATCTCATTGGCACTAGTTACCATGAGAGCCGCATACTTCTTGCTTCAGTTTCAAGCACATTCACAGGTCTCAGCAAAGCATCTTGCCATGAGTCCTACTGGCATATAAAGTAAAATTTAAATTAGAAACAAGCTTGTTTTACATGTCAATTCCAGTTCCCCCTCCCTCCCCTCCTTCCCTGCCCCCAAACAACCCCCTATCCCATCCCCTTTCTGCTCCCTAGGGAGGGTGAGTCCTTCCATGGGGGATCTTCAAAGTCTGTCTTATCATTTGGAGCAGGGCCTAGGCCCTCCCCTGTGTGTCTAGGCTGAGAGAATATCCCTATATGTGGAATGGGCTCCCAAAGTCCATTCATATACTAGGGATAAATACTGATACACTGCCAGAGACCCCATAGATTGCCCAGGCCTCCTAAGTGACACCCACGTTCAGGGGGTCTGGGTCGGTCCTATGCTGGGTTTCCAGCTATCAGTCTGGTGTCCATGAGCTCCCCCTTGTTCAGGTCAGCTGTTTCTGTGGGTTTCTCCAGCCTGGTCTTGACCCCTTTCCCATCACTCCTCCCTCTCTGCAGCTGGATTACAGGGGTTCGGCTTCAGCTCAGTTTTTAGCTGTGG